AGCTACATACCTTTTTAGTAACATTTTCATCTCACTCTATTTCAAATGTATTCAAACATTTGCATTTTAAAACACTGTACCATAGAATAGCGCGACTAATTCCTTTCACTCACAAACCTGTTCAGTTATTTTGAGAAATTCCCTTCTCTAATACAAATAGGTTGATCAGATCCAAATGTAAAGGAAGAAAGAGTTCCACAGTTTTCTAAGTCACAGATTCTTTGGCAAATCCCACACCTCCCCTGATTTCCCTACAACTTTGCCTTTCCAGTTTGAATATAAAATGAAAGTCCTTACGCCTAAAAAGTTAGTGCAGAGTAAAAATCATTCCTCCACTGGGCATGCCTGGAATGCGTAGGGAAATCTGCTTGCAAGTTGTTCTTATGACCCCAGACCAGATGCTCTAAGGTGGCCAGAAACCTTTGTCTTCACCCACTTAGCAGATTTCTGGCTCTTTATCAGGGTCTCCGAGGTTTATTTGTAGAAGTGAATCATTTCCTTCAAAATATCCCTTCCCTATTTACATGCTTGAATATTCCTTCTATTTTGTTTTCCCCCTACAGCTTTACTAAGAGAATAAATTATCTAGAAGAACAGGAACATACAGTAAGTACATCTGAGATACAGGATGAGACACAGTATGTCATCTATTAGGCCTGGCTAAGACCAGCAGCTGACGCTAAATGGGAAGGAACATGCACCAAATGTTTTTTAATCACAAAGTTAGTAATTAATTGCTCTTTAAAATACATTTTGTGCTTCTTTATGTCTGTGTACATGAAATGCACATTTATTACATGCCAAAAATTACAACATTATGGTTTAAATGTGACTGGCACAGAAGTCCGGAAATCAGAGTTAATGTTCCCACAGCAACTTTAATTCTGTCCGTGTGCACATGTAGAGCTATAACAGTCTTCTGTTTCAGGATAATACATATAGATGGTTTGGGGAGAGAAGCTAAAGACCCATATCCTCAACTGTAGTTACAGGAAAGAAACAAAGAATAAGAGCTCTGCTCCTTAACACATACATGGATAAAACAATGTCCCCACCCCCAGCGTTGTGTAATCAGGGAAGGAAAGAATCTGCTCTGATGCACTCAAGGGGACAGTTTCTGTTGCTGTGGGAACCTGAACTTTGCATTTCCTGACTTGGGGGTAATTAAAATGTCAACCTTAATGTGGCATTAATGGAGTTAACAATAAAAATCCCCTTTGTTTTGTTCTCTAAAAAATTGCTCAAAAGTTCAAAATGAGCCAAGAGTACTAAAAATTTTAATCACAGGGACTTGGACAAGCAATGGAAAGGGTTGGGGGTGGGGGCAGGAAAGGCCAAAGAAGGTGGATGGCAAGACACAGAAAAGGATGAGCCTGGAGTCTTCTCCAGAGCGTTCAGTCCCAGCAACATCGTGCTACCTACAGAGCTAAAGTTAAAACCACCCACACAACAGTTTGGTAATGTGTAAAGGTTAAATTAAAAATAAATAAAAACTGTTAATGTGTAAGTGCATTTTGGCAAAGACACAAAAAACGAGACAGTCTAATGAGTCAAGAGTAAAACATGTGAAGGTAAGTAACTGTGGCTATCAGCTTCCAACAAAGGAAATACATTAGACTAGGTGGACCTATAGCCAGACCCCGGGAGTATACCCAAAGGGAGAAGAATTGCTGCTCCCTTTGATGGAAGCCTTTTTTGGGGAAAACAAAATGGAAGAAATATGCAAGTAAATTTCTGGTTGCGTCTATCACATGAATATGACTGTGATGTGCTACAGCTTGATAGTTGTCAAGAAAAGTTTTTTATATGGAGAGCTTCGTCTGCTCTACTGACTTGGTTCAGTCCTGTTTAAGCATTTAAAGGGAGCGCTTGGCTCAGTTCATACTCAGCATGTTCCACGGGTGAGGGCTCTGTCAAACATTTGAGTTTTTGTACCCTTTTCGTTCTTAAGCTGATCTAAATGCCTTCCATTATCATCATCTAAATTTGTTTACCATTAGATTTTTAGAAATGGTATAGAGGTGACAAGCTAGGAGGTAATGGGAGAATATTACTGAAAGGAAGCTGTATTAGTGCGTGCAATGCAAAGCAGCACACGTTTCGGTAGCAGGATTAACATTACCACCTCACAAAGGAAAGCATATCTCAACTATATTCCTTCTTAGTTTGAAATTACTGGGATCTTTTTCCAAATTGGAAGTGACTCAGTTGTTAAATAGCTCACTAAGAATTTCAGAGAACATATCAACTTTGCTGGAAAATATGACCTGCGTCCTTCATGTGCAACAATACCATGCCTTGCCCATCCTTCCCAATTCACAGTGGAGCTGAATTTTATGGGAATGATTTAATCCATTGTGTTTTGTAACCCAATCACTAATGAGAGTAGTTTACAGATATTAAGTGCCCATTCAGAGTCAGGAATGCCATCTCTGGACTACGAGTACAGAACTCTGGCTGCTCACAATGAAAGCAAACCAGCAGCACCTATCAGTTCCCGGATGGGTTAATCGTGGTCAGGCAGTTCATCTATGTGGGTCTCAATTTTCTCAGTTTTTTCATCTGTAAATTGGGAAGAATCAAACTGACTGACAGGAAATGGGCATTAAGGAATGATTAAGAATGATGTGCTAAATATATGATGAATAAAAAGGTGTTATGAAAATTCAGGTACTTGTGAACGCTTAGAACACCACACACCGGTAGAATGTTTCTGAAGTTAAAGAGGCTAACAAGTCAGGGACACTATTTTTAAATGCCCCAAATCTGTTAGTTATAAATAGGAATTGAATATTTTACCTTTAAGAAATTAGGCTTTTAAATTAATCTATGGTAAAATGACATTTGAAAGTAAAAAAAAAAAAATTCTCTTGAATGCAAGAAGAGCATCCAAAATTTTAACAGCTTAAAATAAACCTTTTTCCTGTCTTCTCTCAAGCAATCTCCAAACGGACAGATTTCTGTGAATCTTTCCTAAAAACAATTTTCTTCTAACTGTAGGCTCAAATCAGGACAAACTATAATCCAAATATATTTGGAGAAAAGTATAATCAATTTAAAGAAGAAGTTGGAGCAGGGAAATCTTACACATCTTAATGGGAAAATTAAAATGACTTTCTAAACAGCTGGAGATTAGGATTCTCCTCCCAATCCCCTCTCCTTTAAACTGCATTCAGATACCCTCCTAAACTCAGATCTGCTGGCTTCCACAGGGGTAGCCAGGACCTGTACGCTGATACCATATTTCTACTGTTCCTTAAATGTCTGCCACACTAGTGCTAAGGCCTAGCTGGAAGATGCCTAAAGTACAATAATGAAGATCACTGCTTTTTCTGTTCAGCAAAACATTCATTTTGCTGTATCAGGAGGTTTCTGGGCTAAGGCCATTCCATGTAATCTTCCCCACAACGTGTGGCAGAAAGCCAGGAAATGAAGGTCCGTATGCACAAGCTCCAGGCAGCAACAGGCCACCTTCCTGATAGGTAGGGATAGTGTGTACATGTCTGTGGGCACAGTGCCACATTATTTTCCAATTCCTTCTGTAATTGCTATTAGGCTGGAGACTGCCAGGCAAGAAAGTCCAAGGGTGTGACTATTACAATGGTCCACAGAACACAGTCCCTCTTTCAGATCCCCATATCTCTCTATGACATTGCAACTTGGACTCTATGGATCATACAGGTGTAGGTTTGAATCTCATTAGTTCAGTCTCAGCCCAGCCATACTTAAAACACACTGTCTCCACCCCAACCCCTGCCCCTAGTTCTTAACCCTTTCTCTACAGAGTATTATGATAAAACAAGCAGAGAATGAAATCTCGAGACCTAGTCATCTCTGACCCTTTTTACAAAATTAATCATTTGTTCTTTCCAAAAAATAACAATGGATTTAGAATTACGTTTCCTAATTAATAATTTTTGTTTTTGTGGACAGGATAAAAGAAATAAAACTTGCTTGATCTTATTTTACTGATTCTAAAGAAGAATATGCCAGCTTTTCTCCTGTTACCAGATGACCCATATGGAGATCAGTTCAGAAGAGTTGCTGGGTATCTTAAAGCTACAAGAAATACTCCTTTGGATTTGACCCCAAACTTAATTAATCGCTTTCCATTGTCAACATACATGCCTCTCTTAAATACCGGGTTATGTTTCAGAAAGGCAAAAACAAAAACACACACACACAAAAACTAAAAACAAAAAACAAAACAAAACAAAACAAAAAAACCCCAAAAACAAACCCTCCCAAATGTGACTATTCAACTTTCTTAAAATGAAAATTTGAACAAGTGACTTCCAGATTAGCAAGAAGATGGCAAAAATAAACAGCAAAGAAGTGATTTCAATAGTGACGATCTCATTAAGCTGCCCATTTCCAAATTTAGCCCTCAGGCAGTTTTTTTAATTAAAAATATTTTTAACCTGAATTCTTATTGGCTATGTTAAGTCAGGGTGGCTTTTGAATTCTTGGAAGCCCTTTTCTTTTCTTCTGTAAATTTATGCTATCCTTTAACCACTTCAAAATAAATTAAAAACTGGAAAGTCAGAAATTCAGCCAAGCTACATGAGACTTCAATAACTAATGCAAATCTGATTTGTGTTATGTAACTTCAAAATGGACATTTTCTTGTATCTAAATGGCCTTCTGAGGTTCACATTTGGTTGTTCCATTTAGTAATGGTGGAAGTGGTGTTATTCAGATCAGGAATAATTAGAAGGCAGCATTGTAACTTCTTTTTCTGAGTTAATGCTATAAAAGAGAATGTGGATAATATAATTAATTTGCCTTTTGAGGCCAAATGGCTGGTTACCTGACTTTAAAATGGATTTAGCTTTGAAAATTATAGAAATTGGCCAAATAAAATTGGTGGCATGCTACTTTTGGCTATTTCCGAAGACAAAATGCAAACAGCTTGCTCTGAATGCACAACAGCCAAAACCCAGGGGAAAAGCATTACTCCAAGCACTGCAAAGGCACCATGACCTTACTGGTGTACTCACAATCAGATGACCCGGTGTGAGCGTGAGAGTTTGTTAGTGAGTGTGCTGAGTGGATGAGGGCTGGGTCTGGAGACGGAACAGCTTCAAAGCTCAGGCAGGGAAGGCCCGGCTTGGCGCTGGACCCACGCGGCTGAGTAATCTCATTCTCCTCAGATGCCTTCTGGTTTTCAGCTGTCTTGGGTTTCTTCCTGAAAATAAACAAAGGGCCCTTTGAAGGAACTGACTGCATATTTGGGAAAAGGCATTTTTAGAATCTGTTAAAGATAACTTGATTTTTTTTTTCTAAAGGGGGATGGGAGGGAGTCCAGTATGTCCCTTGTTTTAAAACAAGCTGATTCTTGTTTTTTTTTTTTTTTCCCTCCAGTAATGGCCTAACTGGGAACACATGAAAGCATATGGGCCAAGCAAACAGCACCACATTTGGACTCTGTTGGCTGTATAAAAGGACCCTGTCCCAGAACTTTTAGACAGCTTGAGCTACGTATGGCTGACATTATCCAAGAACGCACCCACCCCCCCGCCTTAAGAGTTTAACATGGTCTGGAAAAATACTAGTGGAGGTTTACCGTTCTAGCATTTGTCAGGAAGCTTAGAGACAGGACCGGTGGAGTAATGGGAGAAGCACTGGACTGGGAGTCAGGAGACTTGAGCTATCGTACTAGCTGTGCCTCTAACTTGCTGTGTGGCCTTGGGCACCTCACTTCACCTCTCTGGGCTTCAGTTTCCTCATCTGTAAAATAAAGGGCTTCGATTAGAAGGCCTTAAAGGTTCCTTCCAGCTTTCAGTTTCTTCATGGAACACACATAACATTCAACTTTCTTGCTGTTACTGGATTTCATTTTAAATCAAGACAAAATTCAAATCATAATCAAAATTTGCAGACTGTATAGATGAGAGGGCTAGCGATGGAGGCTTTTTGTTGAAGTAGAAAGTGAAAAGTGACAAGAAGAGCTTAGGCCCTGGTAGGCAAAGAGGCAAGGTATCATACAGAGACACTCTATTCCTGGTCTTTACTCATTCTATGCTGAAGATTCTAATCAGTGACTGTTCCTGGAGTTCATGAGTGTGACGGTGTATTTGGCATGTGAGGAAGAGACGAGTGAAAGGAATTAGAAACTGTTACTAATTGTCACTTGGAGTCAGGAATAGAAGTAAAACAGCTCAGGTATCAGTCAGCTCTGGGACTTCTCTATCATGAAGTACAACTGATTTTTAAATTAATAAATTAGCTTATAATACATAGCCCTAGACTTCAGCCAAACTTAGATTATTAGTCCTTGAACATGTTCTGAATTTCCTTAGCTTTGTGGGTTTTTTTGATCACTTTGTGGGTAATAACCAAAGAGGCAATTTTTTTTTTCACTGTGAGGGATCAAACCCAAGGCCTGGCCTTGCATATATGCACATAATGGCCAAGTGCTAAAGTACTGAGCTACATCCCAAGCCCTAGAAAGCGTTTTTTTTGGATAGAAGATTATGTGTGGTTCATAACTTGTAAGTGGATTTGTTTATATGCTTCCTTTGTTTCTATGAGCATGGCATTAAACATGTTATACAGAATACTGTATTTCATATTGAAATTTCTTGTCCTAGAGAGGTAAACCTGACCTTGGAGAATATGGTGTTATGATTAGTATACTGTGTTTTTGGTCCAACAGGTCATGAAATCAAATCTGTTTCTTTAGAGGGCAGAAGGCATAAATAGCATGGTAAAGATCAGAATAGAGGGAAACTTTCAGACAGTTTTTTCACTATACAAAAAGCCAATGTAAGGCAAACATCCAACTGCCTTACATATTGTTTGTTGAATAGGTGACGAACGGAATAACTCCCGTATTTTGAGTGTCTACGTGGAACTCCCAGGGCTCTGACATTCTGATTTTTAGTTTAAGATGGTATCTAACAAAAAAGTCTAAGAGCAACTCCTCTATTCTGTGAAAACCATTGCTTCCTCTACGGTCCCTACCTTCCACCACAGTTGTCTATCACCAAGTGGGAAATCTCAGGATCATTACACATTTTCCACTGCCTTCAAGCCAATTTAACATCACGTTTTAACCATTCTGCTCCCTTCATATTTTCTGCACTTTGCTTTCTTTCTCACTTCATGCAGGTGCCTTACCACTTTTTATCTGGACTATTTACTAAACGACTCTCCATCCTCCACATCTCCAGTCCCTGTTTCTCTGCATTCACTAAATCCCCGATGGTCATGTTAGCTTGACATTCTAGGTCAACTCCTTATCTGCCCTAGCTTATTTCATGTACCCTATGTACTGACACACTGGACTCTCAACATTTCTTAACATTCCCAAAAAGTCCTGGAATCTACATTCTTGGCAACACACCTTTACTCAAGCTATTTTTTCTTGCTTTGATCATCCCTTTGTCATCTCTGCTTACTGAAATCAAACACCCTTCATACTTGTCAAACGCTCTTTCCATCTTGTAATGGTCACAATTCCTCTCTACTGGATGGGACTTCTTGTTTGTTCTCTGAAATCCTCACATGGTTTTTATTAATATTATTTTACTCACTTAATTTTTTCATGAATAGTTATTTGTATGCAATAACCTCTCAGAAGGTAAGGAAATGCCTCACTCATTTTTATATTCTGTGTAGTCCTCCATTCTTCTTCCTTCTCTTTCATCATTTATTCACATTCATTTTACAAACATTTACGATGTGCCTGTGATGTGTTAGACTGGCCCAGGGAAGTGAGTCTGGCTCTTATCTTCCCAAAGTTTACTAGTCTACACTATAAAGCCACAAAGCTGCCATTCAACACTATTTTTTGGTGGAATGAAACTGGAACTGAAAGTAAAGGGTATTTTGAGGATCACCACAGCCTGAATCCCAGTTAAATTTCCTTCTTTCTAGGTAGCAGTGAACTCTACCCTGACTGGGTGCTTCAACTTTGAATCCATGAAGGGCATCTGAGAAGAGTGATGTCATTTTGTTCCACAGGACTAGGCTGGTCTTTGTGATTCATCTAAATATAGGGACAGAGTATCAGTCACAAATGCTACCTAGCAGAAAAAAAGTTTACCTCTGATGAGTACAAACAAGGCCAAGGCTAGTTTTAGAAGTGTAGTTCAGAAAATTAAGGATGCTCTCTTTCAAACATGATTACATCGCCAGACCACTATTACATTTTTATTTTTAATACTGCAGAAATTGTTGTTCACGCCAGTATCTTACTTTCCGTTTGTTGTCTCAAGGATCATTTTTGGAGAAAATTCTTGGCAAAACAGCATTAAACCACCTCTACTATCGGAAAATACTGAAAGCCAACTTTTTTGGCTCACTTTCTACTTGCCTAATATCACATTATTTTTAGCCTTTTACCACTGGGATGTTTCCCACCTGCACAGGTTAACAGAGAATTGCTTACTGTTCATATGACATATACAAGTACTGTTATTTGACCAGCTCTGGCAGTTTGCAGTTGATCTAGGAGGAAAGAGCAAGCTTTGTTACAATTAACTGAAAATACTTTCCTTGATTATATAAAAAGAATTGAATAAACATGGCACATCTGAGGGCAAGCCTCTGCTTCTGTGGCTGTGCATTATTCCCTGGAGCCTTTAGAGGGCAGCAGCACATTGGCTGACTCCAGGGAGCACTTCAGAGAGTTAACTCCCTACCAGAACCTTCCTCCTGGTCACCATGCCAAAGTTAGGTTTGCCAAGCTCTGGCCTCTCAGTCTCTTTAGCTCTCTCTCTCTCTCTCTCTCTCTCTCTCTCTCTCTCT